TTCGGTAGCAGTGACAAGTCTGCTTTGGCAATCAGCGCGAGTAAGAAAGACGAAAGATAAGGTTTAGGGGTTGATAGAACGAGAGGCTATTGTAGTAGTGTAGTGCTGGTGAAGTGTCAAAGTGTTGAAGTGGATGACTGAGGATTTGTGTTATAGTTGGAAGTTAGTGCACGGAGTTGCGGATGGATGGATATGTTGTAATTGTCGGTAATTAGATAGGTTGCTGGATTCGAATTCGAAGATTTGATGAAAATAGTTTATACGATTGTTTTGTTGTAATCAGACTTATCAAAATATCATTACTACCTCATTATTAACTTTGTAGGGTAAGTTATAGTGTTGTGCCGAAAATCGAAATGAAAATTTTTATATATCTTTACGTTTCAAAGGTTTCTGAACATTTTGTCATACCTGAGAAAAAATGGATGTATGTGTGTGTGTGTGTGTGCGTGTATGTGTGTGTGTATGTGCGTGTATGTGTGTGTGTGCGGATACAATTTTCGTCGTCGACGATTTCGGGAGCACCTATCAACCGATTTGAATAATTCAAAAAACATTCGATTTGTATTGATAAGGAGACGTGCTGATTAGTTTTTGGCAAAGGCAGGTCTAGCAGTTCCGAAGATACGGGGCAAAAAGCAGTACGATTGCTTGGAAAAAAGTTGAAAATTTCCAAAATAGTTCAAAATAAATTTTTCTTCAATAGTTAGTTAGTTCTCTTAAAAATCTATTTTTTTCAGAGTAATTTTTTTTTTCAAAAATGTTAATCTTTAAAAAAAAATTTGATACGGGAAGTTCCAGCAATTTGCCTTAAGGCGCCTCACTAGTTGAAATTTTAATTAGGTAGTGGTGTATGGCATTGTGCCTTAAGGCAAATTGCTAGAACTTCCAATACCGTAACGAAATATTTGAGGAATATAAAATGTTTTCAAATAGATTTTTATTATAAATATTGAAACATTGTCTAATATTTATAAGGAATATATAAACTGAATTACAAAGTTAAAATTATTTATTTAAAGTATATAATTGAGCTTTAGAACTTTAGCCAGAATTAAAATTATAATCTGAATTATTTTCGATTACAAAAAAATTTAAAAAAAATAATAATATGTTTTTTCATTGTTTTGTCAACACAAGCAGAAAGTTTTCAGAATTATTCAAATCGGATGCTTAGTTCTCTCAAAAACTGACGTTTTTCCATATTTAGCTCGGTGTCTCCGAAACGGCTGGATCTACCTTTGCCAAAAACTAATAACCACTACTCCCCACCATTACGAACTGAATGTTTTTTAGATCATTCAAATCGTATGCTTAGTTCTCTCAAAAACTGCTATTTATGCATATTTAGTTCGGTGTCTCCGAAACGGCTGGATCTGCCTTTGCCAAAAACTAATCAGCACATCTCCTTACTAATAGAAATCGATTGCTTTTTTTAAAATCGGTCTATCCATACGCCTTCAAAACGTGAAGATGCAAGATATTTTATTTTCGATTTTTGGCCTATTATTTTAACTACGAGAAGTTAAAATGTGTATTATTCGACTACATGTTATTCGATATTCTCCGTAAAATGAACTATCGATTTTTTGATCGGATCAAAAATCGAATTTTGGCAGCTCAAAAACGACCAAATTTTGGGTAAAATTCGACTTGTTTAAAAAAAA